GTGTGTGTGTGTGTGTGTGTGTGTGTGTAATTTATTACAAATACCTTCATTTCTGGACATTTATGGTTTGATTTCTTTGTATGTATGGATCACTTGGGTTGTTACCGACATCTGGTGAAAATTTCATGTCATTAGCACCTCTAGTAATATATTTACTGAGAAAAATGGTGACGTGTTCAATACTTGTTTTACCTGCTGTATAACCTGTAATACAGAGCTGTAGAGTAAGTAATGTTTTTGAGGATTTTTTATTTTATTTTACAAAGTATTTTTTTATGGAGAACCGGAAACTTTTTATCCTTATACTGTACTTTTATTTTTGTTACGTACAAAACATACTTTTATTTTGAAATGAACACCTAGTTAAATGTTACGAATATTAAAATATATGAATTTAAATATGACTGAACTCAAATGAGCTGTTTATACTCTAGAAAATGAAGTTGAGTTTTCTGAATCAAGTTTTGTCAACTGGTTCCACTAAACAGAGGAAATATAAAGCAGTTTGCATATTTTCTTTAAAATTAAATGTAAGTTTCTCGACTTAGTTTGGTTAATTCAACAGTATTTCATAGAGTGGGTATAAAAGTATTTTTACTTTCCTGATTATTGTGAGCAGTAACTTATGATTTAAGTACTTTCATTATCAGTGTAATACTGTATATTCTTAGCAGAGTCAAGTATTTTTACTTATTTTAAGTACTTTATTCACATCTGCTGTAATATATATCACTTAAAAGAAAATGATTACACCAAAGTTAAGATGTAACTTTTATTCTAACAAAAAGTTCAGATTAAAACAACAAAAGAGTAAAAGAAAAAAAAAGCATTTTCACAATTTTTAAACCTTTGTCAATTCAATAAACTTGAGTTAATTTCATTTCTTTCAGAATAATTACATCACTTTTATAAACTAAAAATGTGAACTGACATGTTTTAAAATTAAACCAATTAGTTTAATTTCTTTAATAATCTCATCTCAAAAGTTGTAACAGAAGTTTTACAACAGTAACAGTAAAAAGAAACCCCAAACATAAAAACCAGTCAATTTTTCAACTTCCCAAACCTCGTTAAGAGTTAAACTTAAGAATCTCAGCTTTAAAATAAAGTCAAAGCAAAAAGGCACCAGGAAATCTGAGAAAAAAAAAAAAAAAAAAGATAAAGAAGCAGAAGCCTGAATCAGAAATGATAAACTACAATAAACCAGACGAGATGGTTTCTGATGCTGGACCACAGCTGTTCTCACACTGGTCCCACGTTTTCATTCTTTTCTTTCAGACAAAGAGAGACAGGAGAAGAGAGAGGATTGTGTGTTTGATGGACTGTATGTACACATTATGGGAAACACTGTCCCCGATAAGAAAATAACCCATCCACTCCTACAGTGAAATATGGAGGGCACTGCCTCCGATACGGACACACACTGGTAGGCAAAAACTACCTTCTTTTCTTCTGCATTATGGAAAACACTGCTCCCGATAATGCCGTCACAATGAGAAGTGTACATGTGTCTGAGGGCCGGTCCTAACACCCCCCCCCCGAGGACCCCCGGCGTCAGCGCAGGCCGTCGTCCACATGTACACCTCTTCAAGCAGATGCTGCTTTTGTCACTTCGACAGTATAACTGTCATAATTATGGAAGGCACTGCTCCCGATAATTATACAACATTAAAAAAATCTATTTATAGTGAACCCTGCCACTGATAAATTAAAAACAATAAATAAAAACAGGATTTTTGTTTCAGTGCCACACGTTTGAGACCTAACCCTCGGATTAGCTCCAAACCCTTTGAGGTGAATGATTCTGATTGCATATAAAAAAACAGGACGTTCTCTTTGAAGTCTGCTGCTGCCGCGGCAGCGACGTCGCTCTCAAGTATTTGGCCAATTCAGCACCTTCTGAACATAAGACATGCCCAAAATAAATCCAGCACTGTAAGGGTTAATAGTTACCAACATGAAGCTGCTCAGACTTTATTATTAGGGTTCAGCAGAGGAGACACAGCCGCCGTGCAGAGCTGATTTATTGCCTTTTTGTGTTTTGGTTATCTGAGCCGGCACACAGCTTCACTAATGTCATGAGGAAATGTTTAAATTAACACTAGTTTAAGTAGTACTGTCACATAATATGCATATTCAAAGGTAGCACCAAAGACTGATACAATCAAGTGTCTCATGTTTCAGGTTTTAGTCCTTTGGTGAGATCATTTTAGACCTGAGAGAATCTCAGTGAGAACTGAACACAGGTGTGGGATGGACGTATTAATGTGGGAAAACTGGGTTTAATTTGTTGGTTTTGAGGACGGTCGACCCGTGAACGAGGAGAGGAGGGAGCTTTTTTTTAAATTTCGTTATCCAGAGCCCAGATGTCCCCTGCTAACGAGTTGGCGCAGCCCTGAATGGTCCACGTTGCCAGGGCAAACTGGTTGAGGAACAGGCTGCCGTTGGCGTCGGGGTTGTCGGTCTTCAGAGCGTCCAGGTGGCTGGTGAGAGCTCTGAGGGTGTGGGAGCCTGTGCCCAGCAGGATGTGGCGGAAAGGCGTCTCTCTGGGAGAGATGTAGGGCGACAGGAAGTTCTTCTCCACCTGTTTATCACCAAACAGATACTTCGCTTTAGTTAAAATCATTTTAAACACTAATTTGATGAAAAACAATCAAGTCTTCATCTTTTGTAAGAACTAATAATTCTCCTGTGTGGAATGAGTCGGAGCTCTTACCGTCATGATGCGGTCGTTGATGATGCGACACATCTCCACGTCCTCCAGGTCGCTGTTCTGGATGTCCTTGGCCAGGTTGCGGGAGGCGCGGCTGTAGGAACCTGAGGCCTGGATCAGCCACTGAACTGTCAGCGCCTTGGGCAACAGCTTGGGCTGCATCTGGACCAACACACACCAGAGCTCTGTTAGAGCCTTTACAAGACACTGGTGACAGTCAGTTAAATCACACCGTATTGTATGGGTTCAACCTTGTGCCAGCAGGAATTGAACTTGAATTGGTCAGACTGAATCTGTATGTGCGTAATTTGAAAACTGAAAATGAATTTTACTAAACTGAAACAGAATTTAAAGTTTTGTATCTGAATTAATTTGCTTTGAAACTGTATTTTGGTTTATTAAAAATTCAGTTTGACTACTTTCACTTTCTGTTCCAAAATACAGGTTTTTGTGTCACACATCCACAGATTTATGTTTCACTTTGCTGAAGTTTCCTTCTGTAATGTAAAATTACATCACATCATGGATCACATATTGATCAGATGCTGCTGCTGATTGATCCATGACGGGATGTAAATGTAACATTTTCTATAGGTAAAATTAATCACTGCAATAAAACAACTGTCTGTTTTTGTCACTTTTACTGTGGATTGCATCAACTGTTACATTACAGAAGGGAAACTCATTCAAATTCAAAACTTTAAATTCAGTTTCAATATAGTGACATTTATTTTCAAACCAGTGCATTCAATTTCAAATTATGCACATTCAGATTCAATTCCTGCTGGTACAAAATTTATCCCATACAAAATAAAAAACAAATAAAAAAATAAAAACCTAGAGAATTTGCATTTCCTGTGAAAATGCAGTATTAATGTTTAATGCTTAAAGATTAATGCTGAATAGCTAAAAACACTTAAATTATCCTAAAAACGTTTAAAAGTAGCAGAAATTAACACACAGAAAGAGAAAGAGAAAGTTTGCTGAATTAAACAGAAAAAAATGAAAGAAGCACCAACAGTTGAAATTAGTGTAACAATAGTGGAAAAGGTTAAAATGATAGCTAAAAAGGCAGAAAAAATAAAATAAAATAGGCAAAAAAGCCAAAGGAAGCTGAAATTAGCACAACAAAGTAAAACAAAGCAGAACTAGAACAAAAGGTAAAAAGTATCGTACAGATTTTTGAACATAAAAGGGTTTTAAGGATGTTGAAATAGGGTTGGGCAAAATTGGCAAAAAAAAAAATCACGATTAATTGTGGTATTTAGCCGATAATTAATTTGACGATTAATCTCTTGGAGTCCCTGGATATCCTTATGTCCTGGTCACATGATCAATTTAGTGGGAAAGATAAAAATTGTTCCAAATTGTGTCAAAATTAGACTTCAGGCTGTACGTCAAATTTTAAATTGTGTTGATAGATAAATAAATTACAGAACGTTTTTTTTTAATGTTCATCATATTTGAAGCAGAGAGGAGCACCGAGCAGCAGATTAATGCCTGGTGCATTAATCGTATTAATCGTCAAGTGCCAAAAAATAATCGATTAATGTTTTTCTGATGATTAATTGCACACGATACGATTATGCACAACCCTATGTTGAAAACAGCTTCATTCATTTTCAATGAGAAAAACATGACAGAAAACTAAACCTCTCAAAAAGTATAAATTGCTGAAACACTAAAAGTCATAGTCAGGTTGTCCTGAAGGAGCTGAACAAATACGTGCTGAAAAACATACGGAAGACAAAATGATCTTGAATACTTTATAAAAACTCAAATAAACAGCTCTTAACTCACCCTTTGAACCTGCTTCACTTTGGCATTGATCTTCACCACATTGGAACGTATGATGTCGTTGTATTTCATCAGGTCCATCTGCAGCAGGTGATCGTGGACCAGCCTCAGAGCTATGTGACCTGCAAAGCGGCCCGCCGTCTCAGCCAGCTGAGGAACCTGGGTGGATGTGGCAGCGTTCAGTTTCTCCTGGGTGTCCAGCATCGTGCCGAGGTACTGGTAGTCTTGAGCCTGGAAACAGGGAGAGATGCATTAATTACCCAGATGCTGACTCACATGAAGTTCACTTCTAGTGAGGAGGAGAGCCTTACTGAGTTGCCAGGTGTGAACCTGAATGAAAGTGAAGGAATGCCAGAAAAGGCCAGGAAAGGATACGCAGCATTATCCAGCTGCATCGACTCCAGACTTTAGGAATAAAAAGATAAACAAGGGAACATTTAAAATAAGCCTGAACATTTAAGAGTCAAATGCTTTTTAAATGAAAAACATTGATATTTATTTGTAAACATACATATTTGTCTCCCAGTCACTTTTTGCAAACTGATTAGAGAGCGATATGCCCATGTTTGTCACCTACAAACACAAACATTTTACACACAATCATTATAATAACCTGACATAACAAAAGAGAAAAACACAACAGAACTGCTAAAGATTTACCTCACTGAGTGTGTTTTTAATCAGGGTGTACAACAAGGGGCTGGCTGCTACTTTAAATCCATTACGACCTAAAAATAAAAAGAGTTTATTCATTAATTTGACCCAGAAAATTTTAAAGCAGCTCAGGTGTTCTCCCAATATTTAAAATCTAATCTATAATTATGTAATTACAAAGTGACAGGATGTTCCCATCATAATTTAGTAGGTTTTTGTTCTATATAATTGTTAAAAATGAAATGAATACATTTCTAAATCAATAAAATAATAATAAATAATGAGTACCTGTTACGATGCCGTCCAGGTTAATGTAAGTGAAGGCTTTCATGCTCAGGGAAGAGAAATATCCCTACAAATGAAAACAAAAATGTGAGGGTGTAAACATCATTTCAGATGTTTTATTGCTGCTTTGTAAAGCGTTGCATTCTCACCTCCAGCCACTCGGTGGCGCCAACACTCCCGTACGCTCCAGCACTCCAGCTAGCAAACACAATGCTCCTCCGTGGTTTGAACCCATCTGTTGAGCAGGAAAAACTGAACTTTGTGCTCCTCTTTTCTATCTTCAGAGCTCACACTGAGTTGATTTTATCTGATAAAACCCTGCAGGTATTCCTATGTGTAACATCTGTGTAAATATTAAATATCTCATGTTACAATGTGGACATTTTTTTTATTTTGTGGGTGCTGAATAATCTCTAAATTACAGTAGTGTGATTCATTGTGAGATGTGCAACGTTTCTTTTTAATTGTTTTGTGAATTCACCACTCACCGTTCTTCACCATGTCTGAGATGGAGCGGGCCAGCTCAACCAGGACACTGGTGCCGACAGTTGACGAAGCAAAGCCCGGACCCCACGAGTCCCTCTGGGCACCAAGAACCACGTACCGGTCTGAGCACAGTGAGAGGTCATTATTCACGCTGTACTCGACACTCTGAATCGTCACTCTGATTTAGTTTGATCTCACCTGCATCCACAAAGCCTTTGATGACCCCGAACACATTATTGATCTTCTTCTCGGTCAGAATGTTGTTGACCTCCACGGTCATCGTGTCGTTCTCGTTGCCCAGTTTGTTGTAGGCTCCCCATCCTTCTGGCAGATTCTGACCTCCCAGCTTACTGTGGGATTCAAACCGACGACGTTAACGCTGACCAGCCGAGACAAATCCTCGAAGGTCAAAGAGACTCAACGTTACCTCAGGATTCTCTCGGCCATGCCTCGAGTGATGGTCTGAGCCAGGATCTTTGGCAGGCCTGAAGATTCCATTGGAGGAAACTGGGTGTGGTTGAAGGAAGGGAAGCCTGGGGTGTAGGGATCCCCTGAGCCCAAATGGACCTGTAGGAGACCAACAGAACCAGTAATTACAGCAGGCTCCACTGGAATAAACACTGAGATTTTTAGGATCTACCATGCAGTAGATTACATTTATTTTTGTAAATAAGACAAAACTAAACTTGCATCTATTGACATTTATTATGGATAATAACTAAAGTCAAGTTTCTAAATCAATTATTTAAATGTAAAATGTAGTTTATAAACTCAACTATCATTAGGAGTCTGTCAATGATCCAGCAGAGGGCGCTCTAACATGGCTGATTTTATATATCGTCCTTTTATGTTACTAAGAGACCACAACATAGATTTTAAAACAGCAAGGATTTATAAATTTATAGATTATAAAAGATTTAATCTTTTCTGCGCTTTTATGGAATCCACAAAAGTGAGAAGTTAAAAACTTTAGCTTTTTGTTTTGTTAGTTATGTTTCCTTAAACTGCAAGCTGTTAATGTGACTAATGCATTAATATGAAAAAGTTAGGGGAGACCAAATTTGTTTGCAGATTAGATTATACTGAACTCATTTAGGGCTGCCACGATTAATCGATTAATCGACGACTAATCGATTATTAAAATAATCGAAGACTAATTTAATAATCGATTAATCGTTTTCTTTTTTTTTTTTTGTTCTTTACTTTGTTTTTCTCTCCAAACTGCTTTGACACCTTCCACTGCCACATCTGCCTTTCTGTCCTTGACACACATGCACAGTAGTGGTAACTGGGGTAGGCCGTGGACGTCACAAGACATTATACAGACAGGCTCTGGTATCATGGCTACCTGACAACAGAGCTCAAAGTGTGGGATCATTTTAAGAAAATGAAAGAGAAACCTGTGTAATATCTGCAGAGCAGAACTTGTCTTCCACAGCAGTTATTTTTAGTTAGCATATAGCTAAAATCTAGCGATGGTTATATAATAGCAGCTGCATTCTGACGTGATAAGCTCTATGTTTTATTTCAATTAAAGTATGATCTGATTAGTCGACTAATCGAATAAACAATCGGTGATTAATCGATTATTAAAATAATCGTTTGTGGCAGCCCTAAACTCATTTAAACTTAAAAAACAGACTTAAAGGGATCCTTGATTAGTTGTAACATTAGACTTTATTTGATAAACATTTATTTTAACTGTAAAATAAAGACTGTAAAAATACTGTAGGATGTTCAGTTTTGTACATTTTTAAAAATATATTTTAACACGGACGGAGCCATTTTATTTACATGCAAAGCATTCTGGGTAAATGATGATGTGGGTAGTAGGTCATCGGTGCGAGGTCGCTAGCGAGCTATATCCACCCTGAAGGTTAATCTTGGACAATATCTGATGATCGACTCTTTTAAATGAAACCAGAGAGAGTTGACAGAGAGGAGAAGGTAGAAATGACTCAGCCTGGAACTGAAAATATGGATGGAGGACAACAGAGCTGCTTCATGGAAGAAGAACCTCAGCTTAGCCTGTTAGCCTTCGCGCTAGCGCTATTTTAACTTATATGTTTTAGCTCGGTGCTAGCGCGACAATCAAGCTAAACTGTTGTCCTCCATCCATATTTTCAGTTCCAGGCTGAGTCATTTCTACCTTCTCCTCTCTGTCAACGCTCTCTGGTTTCATTTAAAAGAGTCGATCATCAGATATTGTCCAAGATTAACCTTCAGGGTGGATATAGCTCGCTAGCAGCCTCGCACTGATGCCCTACTACCCACGTCATCATTTACCCAGAATGCTTTGCGTGTAAATAAAATGGCCCCGTCCGTGTAATATATTTTTAAACTTTTAGTTTAAAATTTTAAAAACTAAACATCCTACAGTATTTTTACAGTCTGTATTTTACAGTTAAAATATATGTTTGTTAAATAAAGTCTAATGTTACAACTAATCAGGGATCCCTTTAAATGAATCTTTTTACTAGATCTGCTTCACTCACGTGTCCATAAAGCTCAATGTCTTCTCCCAAAGAGTAATCCGAGGCGTCAGGGTAAATTAGCACAGCAGAGGCGTTCATTTTGGCAGCATTGGCGACCTGCAATCATAAAGTGGGAAAAAAAATATTAACATATTGAACATTACAACCATTTTTTCTGTCAGATAACAAAATAAACAGGATTTAAAAGCCACCCACCTTCTCAGCAAAGCTGATCTTTCCGGCTCTGACCAGCATGACTCGGCCGTTCATGTTAATGTTCTTGTCCCGCAGCAGCCTGAAATCCCCCTCCTGCCCGTAAGAAGCGTACAGCACTGCACCCTGGACACACAACAACAGATTTATTATAGAGTTCATTCCAGTTGATCCAGTTGTCTCTGTTACTGAACTAACCTTCACTGATCCGATGCCGCTGTAGGACAGGAATCCCCTGAGACGTTCCTCTGTCTCATCCTTGTAAACAATCTTGTTAAATCCGGAAGACGGGGGGTCCTGAACCCTAATAAAGTGCTCATCAGTCCAGCTTTTCATGCCGTATTCCTTAAACCTCTGGAACACTTTGTCCCCGAGTTGCTCATCTTGAGGAGAACCGGCCTGGTGGCTGCTTTTGGAAAACTCTCTGGAACAGAAGAAGGACCGACAGTTTTACACCTGCAGAGTAAAGACTGACACGAGAAGCAGGAGGCCATCCAATCACCTGAAGGCACTGTCTAATTTAGAGGCTGTTAGTTTTTGGGAGAGGAGCTTTTTGACGTCGTCCCAGTCCATCAGAGGAGCAGCGCCCGTCTCACGGAAAGCGGCGTCTTCAAACGTACGAACGGTGGGCGAGCAGACAGGAGCCACGGCTCTTTTTGGATACGCTGCGTAGCCAATCAGACACCCTGAAAGCATCGTTGGATTCAATTTAGAAACCGACACGGTTTCAGTTTTGCAACATTTATGATCCGAGACAACATCACAGACACAAATCTAGTTTTATTAAAAAGCAAGAACGTGTGTAGCAGCATCTTACCGATGATGAAGACGAGGAGAGCGGCGCCCGCCATGACGCAGAGGTTCTTCGGGGTGTGTTTAAAGTTTTGAGCAATGTAGGGTCTGCCGTTGGCGTTGTGGTTGAGGTGGTCTCCCACGCCGTTTCCTCCGACCTCCTCGTCCACGTCCGACGACAGCTTCATCTCCACCTGGCTGTTGTCTCCTTCCATGTTTTGGGTCAAATTAAATCGTGTGTAGGAGTGAGGCTCCCCGTTAAACTGTCAGAGACGCCAACAAAAGAGACAGTCTTAAATTTGTATGAAAAAAAAAACCTGAAGTTCCCCTCTGTTATTATCCATTGTTCTTGCTTCCTGTTTCACTATGACAAGGTGGCAGGGCTGTACGTTAACTTTTTTAGCTCATAGCGCCAGTGCTACAGAGGTTGCTGATCTTGTAGCACAGAACAAAAAGTTGTAGCACCAGCATAAAATGTCTGTTCTAATCTCTAAAACCAAAAGCCTGAATGGTGAATAATATAGTGAGTATTGTTGTGGGACAGGAGTCACCAACCTTTTTGAGACTGAGAGCTACTTCAGGGGACAAACACAAAGAGCTACTTGTTTGATTAAAAAAACAGATTTATACAGCTCAGATTCAAATATAAAAAATTTACATATATGTGAATATTTAATTACTATGTTACATCTTAATGGTAATGACTCCTCATGATAGTTATCAATAATGATTTACTATGATTAAGTTAATATTACTGTAAGTGATCAGCAGATTTATCTTAGTCCAGAGTTCTGTTTAAATCTCTTTTGAAGAACACAGAATCACTAAATGGATGAACAGCAGGGAACATGTTCATTTCCCCCCTGACAGTTCAGAAATCACCAACAGAGACCCTCTTTCATCGCGCTCACGTGTGATTTCAGAGAACAGGATGGAATTAAGAGGCCTGGAAAAACCTCAGCTGCTCTAAGTAAAGGTAGTAAAGTCTGCAGCAGGAGCTGCTGAATAACTCGACCCTTTGTTATGTTGCAGATCAAAATGTGTCCAAGAACATCTTTTTAGGGTTTTAAGTTTCAAAATAATCTGACTCTTTCTGACTGTATCTGCTGTTAGTGTCTGAGTCAATAAAGTTTGTTTTTATCTCCTCTGTACGTATAAAGAGTAAAGAAGCTTCATGCCTAAAAAAATAATAAAATAAAAAACACCCTTTTGTAACAGTTATTCAAAATACACATTTTTCTTTGTTCTAATTATACTAACTTTTAGAGATTCAAAATATCAGTTGTGTAATATAAAAACAAGCATAGAAAAACTTCCAATCACTATGAAAATAATGTTTTTCTACATTTTAACGCATCTAAAGGGTTAATGTTCCTGAGTGAAGTGGGGAGGAGGTGTGTCTACTTGTTTTTGCTGCCTGGTGGGGACAATTTTTGACTATTTCCCCGGTACAAACAGCCTGGTGAGGACCCACTGTTTCTTATGGGGACAAAAGCCCAGAACAGTCCTGGTCCACATCACGGGGTAAATAAAGTTTAGACTAGGTTTAGGGTCAGATGAGCTTTAGAAAATCCTGGTAAATGAATGCAAAGTCCCCATAAGGATAGAAGAACAACCGTGTGTGTGTGGGACAGTGAGGACACAGCAGAGAGCTGCGGGGAGGAAGTTCTGAGTTTTTAGCACGAGCTGCGGCTAAAGCAGCTTCGGCTGGTATTTTTTGAGAGTTTTTGTTAAAACACAGACGGTGCATTTAAGTTATTTTTGGGCGCTACGGTTAAAGTCTCAAAGTTCTTGATGAGTCTGTTGTTCGTCTTCTGAACCGAGTCAGGTACGGGTTTTCATTTAAAACAGTCCGAATCAAACATCTACATTACACATCGCTGGAATTTATTATATGCGGGAATTTAACGCATTACAAAAATTACGGACGGACGGACAGAAAAAAAAAAAAAAGCGGCTGTCGCACCAGTGCTACAAAGTCTTTTTCTTTTATAACACAGACAGTTTTTTTATAGCACGTGCCACATGTCGCACTGTACAGCCCTGGGTGGAGTTAAAATGAAAAAAGTGTCAGTTATGTGACCAAATGGGTAAAATTGGGTATTATCTTAAATATTAAGATGTCTTCTTCCACTTTTTGTATTTGTAGTAAATGTGTTGAAGGTGATGTTGAAGTAGGACTCAGTGAATAATTCTGGTATGTCTCCTTCCTGCTGCAGATGTTAAGGTCCATACCAGGATTTAGGTCCTTAGGTTATAGACGTTTAAATGTACTCTGACTCCTCTTCATTTCTCTGACAGGGACTCAAAAATTATTTACCATGCTCAGTTTTTAGCCGTTGTAGCATGGCTCTGTTTATGTACAGGTGTTCCTCTTCGTCATCACTTCCTGTTACTGCACAGGTGAATATCTCTACTGTTCATCTCAGCTGTGTGCTTTCTTTAATGAAATATCTTATTAATGTTATCTTTCCAGTAATGCATTTGTATTTATCACAACATCTTGATGCCACGGACACAGTACTTACTTTACAGTAAATGTTAATGGAGATGTATCTTCTGGATTGATTTCCATGATAATAAATAAATAATCTGGACTTGTTACATATTACCAGTAATCTCAGAGGTAATAACCTCTGGCTAAAGGAACAAAAACCATAATGCACAACTCGTGATTTGGGTATTTAGGTTCTTACACTCGCTGTACTTACAATTTTGGAAATGGTTGACCTTGCTTGGTCCATGGCTTCTTCTCAGGACTCTAAAAAAGAAAAATAAAGCAAAAATCATGAGACTAGACTTGAAAAAGCCACCAGTTAAACTGTACCCTCAAAGCTTTTTATTCTGAAGAGGTAAAATAAAACTGCATGTGGAGCATTAATTATAATTTTTCCATTTTCTTTCCAGTGTAACATGTTGGATTGTGGGAATAGCGTGGTCTCTACAGAAACACATCCCACCCCTTGTCAAAACATCTCCAGGTTTCCTGAAAGGCAGCCTTGTCTCCAAACACAACCACTCCAGTGTCCTGCACAGGTTTGCTGACGTGACCGCAGTCACCAGGCGAGAACAATCAGACTTCCCACGAGCCTCGGTGCACAAAGCACGCCAAACCAAGCAAGGTGTTTGCTTTACAAGAGAACAAGGGTGGAAATTTAAGTCCTCGTGATGTGTTCTTTTAAAACCACGATCCACAACAGGAGCAGTGAGAGCTCAGTGTGTGTCCGTCCACTCTGTGCACGTTAGCATCAATCAGCACAATCACTACCCTCAAAAATCTGATCCAAAACCAGAAAGGATGGTATGTTTCACATTTCTGACCACTATGTGACATGTTTTAACAAGTTGTAGTCATGTGCCAGCATTTAGCCTTTTCATGGCCTTCAGCTGCTAGTTTTTCTTTTGGCTAACATCTACAGCAATCAAGTCAAAACAAGCCCGCCTTATCAAATTTAAAACATCCTTTTGTTTTAGGAACTTTCACCCACGCAAAGGAGCAAAATGATACTAGAGACGCTGATAAAATAAGGTTACAAAAGTGATAATCTTCTAACACACAGAACTAAAGTTCTTTGGAAAATCTGCGTTTCTACAAAATTTCTTTCTGTTTCATTTAGGTTTCTAAAAAGGGAAGTGAAAACCACTAAAGTTGCATCATGTATTTTACTCACCAAGTCATTTTACTAGACATCTTGTTCCTTCCACATTATTAAACTGTCTGTAACACAACAAAGAGAACTAAGGGAAGTGTATATTATGTAATTATGTCAATTATGACACGGATTGTTGGTGTTTTTTTTTAAAGAAAGCAGAAATTGCCAAACATGTCAGTAGACAAGATGATTTGACCAACTGCCATGGCCTTTTTAACCATCACTAACCTTCACAAAAAAATTAAATAAAAATAAATAAATAAAAACCCTCTCTGTATGAATGAACTATATGACCAGGGGACAAACTTGATGATGGCAACAACAGTTGAACTTCAAATCGAATATTTTAAAATATTGTTTTGTTGCCAATGACTTCAGCAAAACTAATACTTTAATTTAACTGACAGCTGTTAATTAAAAAGGGATTAAACCAAGCAAAAACATGCAGGTGTAATTATATTGTGTCAATGTGAAATCACTGATAGATCCTCAAATAGACACGGCGTAACAGGAGCTAAATCCACTGAATATAAACGCTTGAGTGTGCGCCAGTCAAATACATAAAAAGAGGATGCAGACGTGGTCTGGAAACACTTTGGTTATTTTTGGACCAATAAAAACACAGCTAACTTTAGAACAAAAGTCGGCGGAGGACAACCTAGACCTCCCAGACCTGCAGGGGATCAGAGAGACAATGCAACCCTACAGAGATGTTGTACAATTGTTACAGGATCATAATTAGAACAAACGAGAGCCCCTGCAGTTTGTGGTCTTCAGAAAGTGGCAGAGGAAGGATTAGTTAAAACGGCAACTAACAGGCAGTGGGCAGAGACATTTCTATAATCTTACATACCAAGCGTACCAGACTTTAGCAGAACTAATTCTTTAATCAGATTAACAACTGCTCTTTTAGATGTAAAACTCTGAGTTTAAAAAACCCTGAGAATAAGAGAAAAACGCAAATACTGAGAAAATAACCCAAATACACGTCAAGAGGCGCTGCTTTCATTCATCCAAGACGTCTTGGATGTGTGTGTGTGTGTGTACGTGTGTGTGTGTGTGTGTGTGTGTGTGTGTG